AAAAAAAAAAAAAAAAAAAAGCAGCAGCAAGTTTATAGCCAGGCGTGGTGGTGGGTTCCTAGAATCCTAGCTACGTGGGAGGATGAGGCAGGAGAATCGCTTGAGCCTAGGAGGCAGAGGTTGCAGTGAGCTGAGACTGACACAGTGAGACTCTGTCTCCGGAAAAAAAAAAAAAAAGGAATTACTTCCAAAAAGTTTGGATCTTTCTATTTATCTCAGGAATTTTTAAGGCTTCCCACCTAGTGGCAACTGAACACTCCTGATACCAACAAAAAGTGAGTTGTCAGGTTGCTGGATAAATGAGGTATAAATATGAAAAAATTAGTAGAGTTCCACATACCAACAATTAGGAAATCAGAAAAATGAAATTTTTAAAAGATACCATTTACAGTGACAGAAAAAAATCAAGTACCTAGAAAGAAATCTACAAATTATTTGCACTATTTCTGCACCAAAAAATGTAGGCCATTACTGAGAAAAACCAGACTAAATACAAGTAAATAGAAACTATACCATGCTTATGAATTAAGAGACTCAATCAAAATATATTCATTAATTCTAAACAGATATATAAATGTAATTCAGTGTTAATTAGTGAATTAATGTTAACCAGCTTGATGGAACGTATACATACATCAAAACATTACATTGTATCCTAGAAACATACACAATTATTATTCGACCATGAAAAATAAACGAAAATAGCATACCAAGTGAAAGAAGTCACACACAAAGGCCACTTACTGTATGATTCCAGTTATGTGAAATGTTTAGAATAGGCAAATCTATAGAGGTAGAAAGTAAAGTGGTTTTTGCTAGGGGCTAAAGAAAGGAGGAAAATGAGGAGCAACTGCTAATGGATACAAGATTTCATTTTGGGGTGATAAAAATATTTTAAAATTAGATGGTGTGATGGTTAGACAATTCTGTAAATACACTAAAAAAATCATTGAATTGTATATTTGAAAAGCTGAATTCTACAGTATGGGAATTCTATCTCAATAAAATTATTATTTAAAAATGTTTAAATTAAAATAAAATTTATATGGAACATCCAAGACATCTGGAAAGTGAGGAGGGAAGGAGACTAGCAGAAGGCCTTGCTCTACAAAATATCTAGACTTATAAACCTACAATAAATAATAAATGTGATACTGGCTAAAGGACATACAAATCAACCAACACAATAGAAGGCCAAGAAATAGACAAGAGATTCATGCACAAATGGACCTTGATTTATGATAAAGATAGCACTCAAAACAGTTGTGAAAAGATGGTTTCCAATAAATGTTGCTGGGACAAATGAGTATCTCTATGTTTAAAAAATGAAATTTGATCTTTATTTTATCCCATACACAGAAATCAATTCCTGAAGGACTATACAGCTAAATATGAAAGGCAAAACAATAAGGCTTCAGAAGATAATATAGAAAATATCCTCAGAGGAAACAAGTGGGAAAAGGAAAAGCTTACTAGAGAACAAATATCACTAACCATAAAGAAAAAGACTGATAAATTTGATTACAGTAAGAACTCTTCATCAAAAACACCACTGAGAGTAAAAAGGAAGCCACAGAAAGAGAAAAATTATCTGCAATCATACCCAGAATATACAACAAGAACTCATACCCAGAACATATAACAAACTTCTACAAATTAATTTAGAAGACAGGTAACTCAATAGAAAAACAAGCAAGAGACTTGAATGAGTACTTCACAAAGGAGGATATCCAAATAGCCAAAAACCTATGAAAAAAAAAATGTTCAACCTCGCTAGTCATCAGGGAAATGCAAACTAAAACCACAATAAAATGATGCTACATATCTACCAGATTGGCTAAGATTTAAAAATTAACAATAACAAATGTTGAGAAGCATATGGAACAGTGGGAATGCTCACATAGTGCTGGGTGGGAGTGTAAAATGGAAAACAATCCAGTATTACCTACAAAAATTGAAGATACACCTATCCTATGACCTAGCAATTCAACTCCTAGGCATGAAATCTGAAAGAAATGTGTGTGCATCTCCACCAAGAGACACTGAAAATTCATGAGAAAATTTCATAGAAAACCACAAATGTCCATCAAACAGTAGAACAGAAAATAAATTGTGGTATAGTCACACAATAAAATCCTATGTAGCTATCAAACTAAACAAACCACGGTTACACATTATAGATAAAATATTAGAATTTACAGAAAACGTATTACCATTAAAAAGTGGATGAAACATAACAATGTTCAACAAAACCAGTCAGATATTGAATAATGTATACTGAATAGATTAAGAAAAATTCCAAAAACTAAACTGTAGTGTTTAAGGATACATATTTAGATAGTAAAACCATAAGAAAAAGCAAAGAAATGATTACCATGTAAGTCAAGAGAGTGGCTCTCTTTGAGGAAGAAGGAGGAACAGTGACTATAAGGAGGCACTAAGAATTTTGAGGCATTGGCAGTTAGCAATTTCTTGACCTGGTGGTGGTTACCCAGCCGTTCTCTTTGTGATAATCGCTGAATAATATGTATTGTTTTGTATATACTTTAGTTTTACATTTTTTAATTATACAATTATGGCCATGCATGGTGGCTCATGCCTGTAACCAATCTCAGCACTTTGGGAGGCTGAGATGGTAGGATCATTGAGCCCAGGAGTTTGAGATCAGCTTGAGCAACACAGTGAGAACCCGTCTCCATGAAAAAATCAGAAAATTAGCCAGGTATCGTGGAGTGCACCTGTAGTTGCAGCTACCCAGGAGGCTGAGGTGGAAGGATCACTTGAGCTCAGGAGGAGCTGCAGTGATGAGCTCTGATTGTGTCAGTGCACACCCACCTGAGCAACAGAGATCCTGTCTCAAAACAAACAAAAACAACAACAAAACACAATTAGAAGGGTTAAAAAAGAAAACAAAAATCAAATAACATGAAAATCAAAATCTGATATGTCCTGAATCAGATTATTTCTCAGGTCATTAGTTATTCCCCGATAGGAAGCTAAAGGCTTTAAATGATATTAACTATTTGGGGTGATGGGAGAAGCCACAGCCAGGGAGTATAATATTTAGAGGCATACTATGTTATACTACAGACATATCCATGTAAATAATAGGAAAGCTAAGACAGAAAATTTGAAATAGTTAAGCAAAGTTAAAAAGCAAATCACTCACAAGGTATAAGAGGATAACTTAAACACAATTTAAAGTTTAAATTATGTATTTACCTTTCAACTCCTAACAATATTGCATTGCCTATATTACCCTGGCAAACAACAGGAGGGAAAAGTATGGAAAAATGATAACCATAATATGATTTATAAATTAATTTCCTGAGTATTATCTTTACATTTCTAAAACCAAAGTCAAGCTAACAATAAAAATGTTTTCATTTAAGTAGATTTAAGGGAAAAGCTAATAATTCTTTCAGGTGCCTATGTTCAGAATTCTTCAAATGAACATACTTTTTTTAAGTTCCCACTTAGCATTTAAAATGCTACTGTGTTTAGTGAGGTACTATTTCAAGTAAATCTACAGAGACAGATACGTTAAGAAACACTACCTGCAATCTATTCACTTTTTGTGCTTCTTTCAAAGACACAGCATGCCCTTTGTTTTCCTGTACCATCATCTGCACTTGATTCTTCAGCTCCTTCACCTCCAATTCCTTCTGATTAAATACTACTTCATCAGCAGCGAGAGCATACTAGTGGGAAAAGAAGGCACAAGTGACATTCACCATGGAAAATTACCAAGGAATCCCATATAATAACACAAAAAAGATGATTTGATTATACATTGATGATGTCTCACAAATTTTTTTTTTCATTTTCAACTTTTTCTGATTTCTTTCTAAGAAAGGCAGAAATAGTTGAGAGAACCTATCATTGCTACAACATAGGAATTCATTACCATGAAGACAGGAAGATTTTCCTGAGACAGATAGATTGATTGATTGATT